ATATTTTTCTGACTGACGATGTCACTACAAGAATCTAACACTATCCAATCCTGTCGACTATGTTATTCTTGTCCATCTGCGATGCAATACTCCCTCATGGATATTCTCAAATTTCACAAATTTTATATGCAAAGAATAAAATATATCACACAACATACAGTAAATAACATACAGATACACGTAGGACATAACCATGGCTTACTCAGCAGAACATCACAATAAACAATAGGAAGCAAATAGTCATTCGAGAGCTCGCATTCGAACTGGCCAGCTCCTCGCTCACGATATTCTTTCTCATGCCTTTTCTAGAACTACTGGACGCCATGGCAGCAGTCGGAGGATAACTGAACTCTTCAACTAACACTAAAGGAGTCGTAGTAGGAGGCTCGGTAGTGATTCGAGGTGTTGTGGTCACGAGGGTCGTGGGTTTTGTCTGTGCTTCTTCAACCTCGGCTGATACAAGTCGGGACGATGCACCTGTGAACTGACATCCAGGCATCAGTGTGTTGGTGGTATCCTTGAGCACTCTGTAGATCACTTGCCAAGCTGAGGATCCACAATCCTGCTTAATGGGAGTTTTTACGCAACCAGCGAAGAAATTCAGTGCTCTGAAATTAGATGGGTTAAGAACTTCAAATTATGGTTATTGAAGGTTTGTGCTAATGGAGAATAAAAGCTGGATCATTTTTCTATATTTTTTCGTTATTTATCCTAAGTTTTCTTGAAAATGTCTTTGACATTCTAAAAGCTGGATTCATTTATCCACGGAAATGGCTATTCGTTTCAAAGTTTCGCCGCGATATACGGCAGAGGTTGCTGTTAGTTACTTCAGAAGTTTATGTACAAAGCCTTTTTCTCAAATTTTGTTAGCTTATTTTGAGGTTCGCCGTTTCAATTATGGTGCTCCAATCTTTTTCTTTTGAAACTCTTAAATTTGGGTATAATCATAATGATATTATTTACTCTTAAACTCATCGGATACGCTCAAAATCAACACTGTAGCCAATTTTGGCAGGAGTATTTATCGCCATTAGACCCCGACCCCATCTCGCGGACGACGATTCTTCTGCGTAAGGTAAAATGCCAATTTTTTTAAAATGACGGATTTATTATATTTAGCTTATTTTGAGTTTCGTCGTTTGCTTCTTATAATAATGATATACAACATTGGAAGGATCGGTAGTCCGCGAGGGCTAGGCCAACTGGCAATGCCCTCCACCCTCCAATTTTTAGTGCAATGCCTTACTGAGAATTAAGGTAACCATATGGAGTTCCGCTCGTAAAAAAAATCAATGTTTTTTAGAGTGACTGGTGTGGCAGGAGCAATTGACTCTGGTATAAGGAATAACTTTGTACCTAGGGATTTGATTTGGAGAGAGTCAAGAATGTATATCTCGTAGCTAGGGTGGTCCAAGCGGGACAATGTATCACAGAGTCTTACGAATCACAATTATTGCGGTGATATCATGGAGAAATACATTAATAACCACCAACCCACACATCCGATCGAGTTTAGCTGCCATAGCAATGCCAGTTTCCGTATTGGCTGTTTCTATCTCAACCAATGTCTCGTCATGACATCTCTTAACCGCTGGCTTTCTATCCAGCTCCATGAGACACTCAGCGGATTCCATAAACGCTAGAAAAGAGCTCCATTACATGCTCATAATAATGAGACTGCGACAAATCGCCCATTGTTCCCAAAATCGCCGCTAAATTTATGAC